CTTTTTTTTCTGCAAAAAAAAAAAAAAAAAAAAGGCATTGGGAGGCAGTATCATCTCCTGAAAGGTAGACAGTAATACTAGTGTAAAAGGAGCCTTAAACCTTTCCAGCTGCCTGTATGTGTGTGTGAATATGTATATATGTGTGTGTGTATATATGTGTGTGTATATATACAGTCAGGTCCATAAATATTGGGACATCGACACAATTCTAACATTTTTGGCTCTATACACCACCACAATGGATTTGAAATGAAACAAACAAGATGTGCTTTAACTGCAGACTGTCAGCTTTAATTTGAGGGTATTTACATCCAAATCAGGTGAACGGTGTAGGAATTACAACAATTTGCATATGGGCCTCCCATTTGTTGAGGGACCAAAAGTAATGGGACAGAATAATAATCATAAATCAAACTTTCACTTTTTAATACTTGGTTGCAAATCCTTTGCAGTCAATTACAGCCTGAAGTCTGGAATGCATAGACATCACCAGACGCTGGGTTTCATCCCTGGTGATGCTCTGCCAGGCCTCTACTGCAACTGTCTTCAGTTCCTGCTTGTTCTTGGGGCATTTTCCCTTCAGTTTTGTCTTCAGCAAGTGAAATGCATGCTCAATCGGATTCAGGTCAGGTGATTGACTTGGCCATTGCATAACATTCCATTTCTTTCCCTTAAATAACTCTTTGGTTGCTTTTGCAGTATGCTTTGGGTCATTGTCCATCTGCACTGTGAAGCGGCGTCCAATGGGTTCTGAAGCATTTGGCTGAATATGAGCAGATAATATTGCCAGAAATAATATTATTAAACACTTCAGAATTCATCCTGCTGCTTTTGTCAGCAGTCACATCATCAACAAATACAAGAGAACCAGTTCCATTGGCAGCCATACATGCCCACGCCATGACACTACCACCACCATGCTTCACTGATGTATGTAGTATGCTTAGGATCATGAGCAGTTCCTTTCCTTCTTCATACTCTTCTCTTCCCATCACTCTGGTACAAGTTGATCTTGGTCTCATCTGTCCATAGGATGTTGTTCCTGAACTGTGAAGGCTTTTTTAGATGGCAAACTCTAATCTGGCCTTCCTGTTTTTTGAGGCTCACCAATGGTTTACATCTTGTGGTGAACCCTCTGTATTCACTCTGGTGAAGTCTTTTCTTGATTGTCGACTTTGACACACATACACCTACCTCCTGGAGAGTGTTCTTGATCTGGCCAACTGTTGTGAAGGGTGTTTTCTTCACCAGGGAAAGAATTCTTCGGTCATCCACCACAGTTGTTTTCCGTGGTCTTCCGGGTCTTTTGGTGTTGCTGAGCTCACCGGTGCGTTCCTTCTTTTTAAGAATGTTCCAAACAGTTGTTTTGGACACGCCTAATGTTTTTGCTATCTCTCTGATGGGTTTGTTTTGTTTTTTCAGCCTAATGATGGCTTGCTTCACTGATAGTGACAGCTCTTTGGATCTCATTTTGAGAGTTGACAGCAACAGATTCCAAATGCAAATAGCACACTTGAAATGAACTCTGGACCTTTTTATCTGCTCATTGTAATTGGGATAATGAGGGAATAACACACACCTGGTCATGGAACAGCTGAGAAGCCAATTGTCCCATTACTTTTGGTCCCTTAACAAGTCGGAGGCACATATGCAAACTGTTGTAATTCCTACACCGTTCACCTGATTTGGATGTAAATACCCTCAAATTAAAGCTGACGGTCTGCAGTTAAAGCACATCTTGTTAGTTTCATTTCAAATCCATTGTGGTGGTGTATAGAGCCAAAAATGTTAGAATTGTGTCGATGTCCCAATATTTATGGACCTGACTGTATATGTGTGTGTGTATGTGTGTGTGTGTGTGTGTGTGTGTGTGTGTGTGTGTGTGTGTGTGTGTGTATATATATATATATATATATATATATATATATATATATATATATATATATAAATAATATGCAGCCTCACTGAAGTAGTACTTGTGTTTGTGCACAGGGCACTCCCTGCAGAGAGATTGACCTCTTGTACTAACAGGCGTCAGGACTCCTATTCCCGATCACCGTATTGCTGTGATAGCCTCTGATTGGCTATCACAGTAATGTTACTGTATAATCTGCCCCTGTGTTTTCCTTCTCTGAATATAGAGAATGATACATTGTATCTTTCTCTCCTTGCCAGGGGAGAAACATGTAACCAAACAAATGTGTGTAAAAAATAAAAATAAAAATAAAAAATGGAAAATAAAAAAATATCTAGATGTAGGTTAGTGTTAGGGTCAAGCAGAATGTGCATTACTGTTTCTGGGCCCTACTACAGGTACAAATAAAATACTGTACATATATGTAGTATCACTGTGATCGTCAGGAGCAGGGATGTATACTTTGGTTTGTTCTTTGGTGGTAAGTTATAGTAATAGCAAGAAATATACAGCTAAATAAAAAAAAAATATTTTAAAAACTATATTGGGCCAGTTTTTGTTTGATAATAAAAATAATTACCTATCTCCATGTTATGTCTCCAGTGCTGTCTCTGGGTCCAGCACCGCTCCCCTCTCTTCCTGCTTTAGTCTAAATTCACACCTAAGCATTTTCCACAGCGTTTTGCAGAAACACACTACAGTCCATTTAACATGATTTCCTATGGGACACATTCACATCTCCATGTTTTCACCCAGTGCGTTTTTTGGAAAGGGTCAGGGACTTTTTTTAAATGCAAAATGTTACATTTTTGGTTCTATAGACTTAAATGGAGCTGCTGCAGAAAAGCAAGTAAAGCATTTTTGATGTGTTTTTTGACACATTTTTGATGCATTTTAAACTACCTAGCAACAAGAAAAAAAATCCCAAAATGCATCAAAAACACGTGCAAAAACGCAAAATGCACTGCAGAAACGGATCAAACGCAAACTGCATAGGTGTGAACCTAGCCTTAACAGGAGAAACTGAGGACAGCAGAGTAATAGGCTCCTGCTGCTGCCAGTCAAACTCCTGTGAGGAGGGAGAAGGGTAGTGGCTTACCAGCACTACGTGTGTCTATAGATGCACACAGCCCAGCTCAGGACCCAGCGGGAGTGCGCACATACTACTGCTTCCTTAGCACCTTGCTTGTTACAGTAGGTGCCAGGAGGGATGTGCCTACATCACCAGAGCAGGACTTTCAGAATAGGGAAAAGTGACCTTTTCTGTGCAAAATTGTTACACAGAGCAGGTAAGTATAACCTCTTTTTTAGTAACCGCTTCCCACCCGCGCTATAGCCAAAAGACAGCTGCAGCGCGGTTGTCCAGTTCTGGGAGGACGTCCAAAACGCGCCTCCAGCAGCACGCACCTGGCATTGTTGGTGATCGCTGTGTCCTATGGACACAGCGGATCACGTGATTAGGTAAAAGGCCAATCACAGCGGCCTTTTACCATGTGATCAGCGGTGTCCAATGACACAGCAGATTACAAAGTAAATATAGTTGCCAGTTATCGACAGCATTTTCCTCACGCTGTCACAGAGTACTGCCAACAACTGGCAAATGTGACAGGTGAGATCTGCACCAATAATTGGTGCACTGCTTATCAGTGCCTTGATTATCAAATCCACCCAGCAGTGCCTCCAGTCAGTGCCGATCATTTCTACATATCCGTGCATCATCAGTGCCGTCTCATCAGTGCTGCCTATCAGTGCCACTTCATCAATGCACATCAGTGAAGGAGAAAAATTACCTGTTTGCAAAATTTTATAATAGAAACAAAGAAAAACTTTTTTTTTTTTCTTCAAGTTTTTGGCTCTTTTTTTGTTTATAGTGCAAAAAATAAAACCCCCAGTGGTGAGTAAATACCACCAAAAGAAATGATAAATATTTCATATGGGTACAGTGTTGCATGACCGTGCAATTGTCATTCAAAGTGTGACAGCCCTGAAAGCTGAAAATTGGCCTGGGCAGGAAGGGGGTATAAGTATCTGGTAGGCAAATGGTTAAAACAACACAAAATAAAAACGTGCCTTTTAATATCACTTTAATAGGGACTGACTGCATCCTATGTCATTTTGATTTTGCTTTTAATTCCACCTTACTCCAGTACTGCAAATAGTATTTGTTCTAACACAGCTCTTTAACCCTTCTGCCGTAGGTGTGTGTAGGCTTTGGAAGAGTTAAGTAGTTTCCCAGTTTTTGCTGTGTGTGTTAATAGCATATGGCATTAAAGCCTATTACCGAATCAAGTGTTCTGGGCTAAGAAGGCTATTTTTATTTTCAAACCTCCACTCTGCCGGGTTGTCATTGGTAAGACTCAAGTCAATCTCATTGATTGCACTGGTATGTACCTTCACGGGGATGGAATCCATTGTTCCTTTTAGTGCTGCGTCTGTAAGAGAAACTTTTCCATCTTTTAGTAGAGCTTACTGGCTTTCCTTCATGATCCTGTTACTAAAGTGCACTCCATATGACAGATTTGCGAAGGTCGTTGTTTACATAGCTCTGTGTTGCCCGTTACTGCAAGGAATGTCTGGCTAAGCAAGACAAGACAATTATGATGATGGAAGATTGACAGTGTGTAACTGTATCCCACCGTGAGGAAGGAAGAAAACCTTTTAGTGCTGGATTTAAAGTGTTACTAAACCCACGACAGTAAAATCAGTCTGTATATGCAGTAAAGCATGCTTGTTATACTCACTGTGGAACCTAAGGGGATAATCCTCTGCATTTTTTAAAGCGTTTTTGTGTTTAACCACTAGCCTACAGGGCACTTATACCCCCTTCCCGCCCAGGGCAATTTCCAGCTCCCAGCGCTGTCACACTTTGAATGACAATTGCGCGGTCATACAACATTGTACCCATATGAAATTTTTATCATTTTTTTGTGACAGAGCTTTATTTTGGTGGTATTTAATCACCTCTGGGATTTTTATTCTTTCTTAAACAAACCAAAAACCACTGAAAATTTTGAGAAAAAAAAAAAGTTTTTTTCTTAGTTTTTGTTATAAAAGTTTGTAAATAAGTGATTTTTCTCCTTCACTGATGTGCGCTAATGAGGCTGTAGTGATGGGCACTGATAAGATGCACTGATGGACACTGATAGGTGGCACTGATGAGGCACTGGTAGGTGGCACTGATGGGCATTGACAGGCATCACTGATGGGCACTGAAAGGCAGCACTGATAGGCGGCACTGACTGGCACTGAAAGGTGGCACTGATTGGCAGCACTGATAGGCATTGATGGGTGACACTGGGGGGCAGCTCAGATGGGCACTGATATGTGGCATTGATGTGCACTGATATTTGGCATTGTGGCACTGATGGGCACTGGCACGTGGCACTATTCAGCTGGCACTGATGGACTCTGACAGGTGGCACCTCTGGGGCCACACTGATCATCAGGGCACACTGATGATCAATGTACATGTCCCCTCCGCGGAAAGCTGATTACCGGCTCTCCTCTCCTCACGAGCTGTCAGCGTGACCCCCCGAGAGGAGAGAAATGCCGATAACCGGCATTTCCCTGTTTACATGTGATCAGCTGTGATTGGACACAGCTGATCACACGACCGAGCCGACATCTTCGGCTCTTTCCGTGATCGGTGATTCCCTGTGTCCGAGGGACACAGAGCACCACCGATCGCCGCGCTGCGCGCTCCCTGAGCCGCGCATGCGCGGTGAAGATGGCAGGACGTCATATGACGTTCTATCAGATTGAGAGAACCACCTTGCGCCCGTCATTGGACTATATGGCGGGCGGGAGGTGGTTAAAGTCAGCAGCTACAAAAATTGTAGCTGCTGACTTTTAATAAACACCTACTTACCTGTCCCAGGGTGCAGCAATGTGCTCACCTGTGCTGTCCCTTCTCTCCCTCTTCTCTCCCCGGCGCTGGCATCTCAACTGTGTGCGCCAGGCTGTGACAGCTTGCAGCTTCACAGCCGGGTGCCCACTGCTCATGCGTGAGTCACGCTGCACATCCTGATGTGGTCCAGCAGTCTTCCAGGACTTGCGAAGGTTGCCAGAAGACTGCGGGAGGAAGGAGGGGGCCAAACTTCCAGCCCAATTCGCTGTGGCGAACTAAGCTGGAATCGGGAGCGGGTACCTGTCAAAACCCCTCCCCCCCCCCCCAAAAAGGTGCCAAATATGGCAGTGGGGGGGGGGGGGGGGTAGGAGGCAAACAAGTGGAGCTTCCACTTTTGGGTGGAACTCTGCTTTAAAAATGCAATTTGATCATGATTTCTCTGATCCTCCCCTTCTTCCATTGTCTCCCTCTGGTCTCCCTGGTAAGACATATCGTGTGGAGACACTCTGCACATGCTTAGTTTAGTATGTATTGCTTGAAAGGTTTTTTTTTTTTTTCTTGGAAGAGTGCAAGTGATCAGCACAGGGCCAATCAGCACTGTCCAGACAGAGGTCAGGGGTTCTGCATCTTCCTAGAGCAGAAAAAAACACCTCCTACAAGCTTTAACCAGTGCTCTGCTGAACACTGATAGAAGTCACAAGATCCTAACTGCTGATGAGAAAAGGTATTTAGCAGTTTATATTTACTAAAATAATTGCATTTCTGTGTTGTGTGTACTGTAGGAGACCAGATATAGTGAATGCAGGGTGCTGACTTAAGTAACAATTTAATACTGCGTTACTATGTATAAAGGAAAGTTATGAGAAAAGCACTGGGGCTGTCATCTGGGGTTGATTTACTAAAACTGGGGAGTGCAAAATCTGGTGCAGCTGTGCATGGTAGCCAATTGACTTCTAACTTCAGTTTGTTCAATTAAGCTTTCACAATAAATCCTGGAAGCTGATTGGATTCTATGCAGAGCTGCACCAGATTTTGCACGCTCCAGTTTTTGTGAATCAACCCCTGCAGGGTGCCTGGTCTTGTCTCTGCCACTTCCTGTAGTTTTCTGCAGGTAGCCTGTAGTGGGAAAAGCCTGCTGGTCTCTTTCCACAGCTCTATTCTCTGCAAAGGCTATATTCAGAACAGCAATTACAAGGTAATATCTGGGTTTGCAAAGGCATTTGGTGCACACAAAGTGGATTTATATCCTTTGTGGTTGTTGAGGAATATATTTAAAGTGATGAAAAACCCAAAATAAAAATGTAATGTATCTCAAAAGGAAACAAACCTGTTGCTGTAACTACTTTAAAAAATGTTAACTTGAGTTTGCCTTTACTTTGTCGGTTATTTCCTTCTAAATTGATTGGGTACCTAATACTACCCAGATTACTGTCCAAAGGTGTCTTCGTTACACAGCCATAGAGTGGAGACACCCAAAACCTGGCCATACATTATTCTATTCTATTCGCTGTACTTCTGATAGTGAGGAGACTTCCCTGTCATCAGAATACACTGATCAGTGCTGCCGGCTATAACTGGCAGCACCGATCGTTTGGGAAAAGCATAACAGACTGATTGTACAGAAGTCAATTGGTAGACTGACATCTTTATAACCAGCCTTCCTATACACGGATCGAAATTTGACCTGTCCCTGACAAAATGGCCAAATTAGATCCATATGTGGCAGCCTTAAGACTGGAAGTGTGTTACTGGCCTGATCACGTTTTGAAAATAAAGGAAAAAAGCCTAAAATAAGAAAACTAAGGCAGCCACCTATTTTTAATATTTGGTAAGCTGTATTCTATTAAATATTTGTTTTGGGTTTAATAACTCTTTAAAGGCTTGCTTACAATTTTTCCAGATGCTGGTGTTCTAACTTCTTGATTGTTTGGCACAGTTGTCTTGATTCTTGCGCATGTGCAGGAGTAGTCATTCTGACGCACTGGTACTGTGCTCGAAAGTAGACTGAGCTGTGTGTACATGGTAGAGAGGATTGAGCGTAGGCAGGTCGATTTATTTTATTGCAGAGGAGACCTATTGCATACCTCTTGTGGTATTATTAATATTATATGGGATTTGTATAGCACCAACAGTTTGCGCAGCATTTTACAACATGAAGGCAGACCATACAATTACAATACAGTAGGAAACACAGGACCCTGCTCATTAGAGCTTATAATCTAAAATCAATAACCTGCCTGCTCGTAAGATTTTTAAAACCTGATTTTAGTTCTGTTTTAAGGATTTGTAAACTGCAAAATATTACATTTTTGTTTTTGGGTTTCATCCTGTGTTAAATGAACATTTTTGAGCCCAGAGTTCAGCTTTAAACATCCATTGGGTGCATCCTCCATTTTTTTTTTTGTTCTGTTCATAAATGACCTGCATGGACATCCCTTTGAAACCTGGGCTGGAGAAGGAGTTTGCAGACATTACATGACCAGCATACCAGAAACTATGTGGACTATTTATTGTGGAGAGCAGAAACTGCAATCCTCCCTTTGATGGACACTGCAGTGCTAATTTGCATTTTACAACGCATTCCTAAAATGCTGACTGTGATGTCAAGCCTGTGGTTTCTGAGTACCCTCCGTGATTTTAGAAGGAGCCTGCCATGTGTATTTAAAAGGTCATGGGACCAGACTCTGCTCCTCTCAGCAGTCCTGATGCACACATAGCAAAATGCACATAAAGCACAGCTGCCACACTAATTTTTCTTTTAGGTTGCATGCACACTATTATTATTATTATTATTATTATACAGTATTTATAAAGCGCCAATAGTTCGCTCAGCGCTGTACATTACAAAGGGGGACAGAACATGTGACAGAACAATACCAATACAATGCAAAACATGAGGGGATTGAGGGCCCTGCTCTTTCGAGCTTACAATCTAGTTTTTTTTATTTTTTTTTAACCACTTGCCTGCCGGGCACTTATATCCCCTTCCTGTCCAGGCCAATTTTCAGCTTTCAGCGCTGTCGCACTTTGACAATTGCACGGTCATGCAACACTGTACCCATATGACATTTTTTATAATTTTTTTCACACAAATAGAGCTTTCTTTTGGTGGTATGTACTCGCCGCTGGGTGTTTTTTATTTTTTGCGTTCTAAACAAAAAAAAAAAAAGAGCAAATAATTTGAAAAAAAAAAGTTTTCTTTGTTTCTATTAAAAATTTTTTCACACAGGTAATTTTTCTCCTTCACTGATGTGTGTTGATGAGGTTGCACTGATAGGCAGCACTGATAGGTGGCACTGATAGGCGGCATGGATAGGCAGCACTGATGGGCACAGATAGGCGACACTGATGATGCTGCACTGATAGGCGGAACTGATGGGCTGCAATGATGATGCTGCACTTATGGGCGGCACAGGTGGGTGACACTGCAGGGCACAGGTGGGTGGCGCTGCTGGTTGGCACTGCTGGGCACAGGTGGGTGACACTGATCATCAGGACACTAATCATCAGTGCCGATCCCTTCACTGACAATTGCCGGTTCTTTGCAGTACTTTCCTCACACTGTGACAGCGTGAAGAAAGTGCAGCCGATAACCGGCAACTGTATTTACCTGGTGATCTGCTATGTCATTGGACACGGCTAATCACGTGGTAAAAGGCTGCTGTGATTGGCCATATCCCGTGATCAGCTGTGTCCTTAGGACACAGCGATCACTGGCGGCACCGGGTGCGCACCGCTGGGGGTGCGCAGGGGGGCGTGTTCTGGAATGATGTCCATGGACGTCGTCCCAGGATTACACAACTGCGTGTAGCCGTCCTTCGGCTATAGTGCGGTTGGGAACTGGTTAAGCTCAAAAATGCTGGTAATAGCAATTTTTTAGTAGTATTTAGTATTCAGGTGAGTTAGTCTTTTATTATCGTTTTTACAGTACAGAAAAAAAGCTGTTAGGAGCGTTTTCTTAGCCTTTAGTAGCATTTAGGAGAATTTTGTGGGTTTTTTTTTTTCTGCTCCTAGACGCTGAAGCTCACAAAATGCTAATAGCCTAAAGTAGTGTGCATGGACACATAGGATAACACTATTTCACTTTTAGGAGCAGAAAAAAATAACCGCTTCTAGAAGCTTAACCTCTCGGCGGCGGCCGCGCGCCTGAGCCTTGATGCTGAGCATGCACAAGGTATGCAGCGCAAAACAAAAATTAAATGTAGAGAACGAACGTTCCCTAGTTCCGTATGAATAATGTTATGATGCTGGTAGCCAAAGGTTCCAAATGTGATAGTTGAACCAAACCCGTTAGAGAACAAAAATGTTCATAACATCAAGGCATCAATATACAATCCTGAAGAAACCAACAAAATTACAGCTTAACATGTCCCTAAAAACCCCGCCCCGCCTCTCGCATACAAACCCTTAAGGCCGTTGTATGCATATACTCTGGTGCCAAGGAGAGCCTTTCACATTGCCAGTGCAAGCATCCGGTGCACCAGGAGGAGATATCAGCACACACTGGTATCCCATTAAGCTGTGTAGATAGTCCGTTAAAAATGTGCGTCCAGCCTCCCATAGATATACTTCTGCATTATTGGGTCCACCTTTTTTGACTCGCAAATGAATGAGTCATAAAGCAAAAACGTATGATAGTGAAGTACTGTCTTTTTACCTTTCCAAAAGAATTATATGTGACTCACATGAGCAAAAACTCTTCAGGTCAGAACCCAACCTTCCTGGTGATCTAGAGCTCCCTGGTGTATAATGGCGTCAGCTGGGCGAGTCCCCTAACATGTTTCGAGCTATCCACGCTCGTTATCAAAGGGGTGACTCATGACCCAGGACGCCTGCTAAAATAAACGCGATCGCGCATGCGCATTCAGCACCGCGCGCCACTACAAGCCAGCATGCGCATGCTGCCGATGACGTCACCCGCCCACCACGACCACGGGCACCTAATGCGCATGCTCGGGATTCGTCAACCGCTGTGCATATAAAAAATACCACAGCACCATTCACTAGTATAGAACTGGGAACAAACGGGAAGTTCATTGGGTGCAATGACCAGATTAACCCATACAACCCCAAGAACTCCATTTTCTTGTAGCCCATATGTTCATTATATATAATACAGTCATGGCCGAAATTGTTGGACCCTTGATATTTTCCTGAAAATCAAGTATTTTCACACAAAAAAGGTATTGCATTAACACATGTTTTGCTATACACATGTTTATTCCCTTTGTATGTATTGGAACAAATATAAAACAGAGGCAGAAAAGCAAATATGACATAATGTCACACAAAACCCCAAAAATGGGCTGGACAAAAGTATTGGCACCCTTAACTTAATATTTGGTTGCACACCCTTTGGAAAACATAACTGAAATCAGTCGCTTCCTATAACTTGCCAGGAAAAGCTAGGTATCATCAATAAGCTTCTGACACCTCTCACCCGGAATTTTGGACCACTCTTCCTTTGCAAACAGCTCCAGGTCTCTCTTATTGGAAGGACACCTTTTCCCAACAGCAATTTTAAGATCTCTCCACAGGTGTTCAATGGGATTTAGATCTGGGCTCATTGCTGGCCACTTCAGAACTCTCCAGCGCTTCTTTGCCATCCATTTCTGAGTGCTTTTTGACGTATGTTTGGGGTCATTGTCCTGCTGGAAGACCCAGGATCTTGGACGCAAACCCAGCTTTCTGACACTGGGCCCTACAGTGCGACCCAAAATCCTTTGGTAATCCTCAGATTTCATGATGCCTTGCACACAGTCAAGGCACCCAGTGCCAGAGGCAGCAAAACAACCCCAAAACATCATTGAACCTCCACCAATATTTTACCGTAGGTACTGTGTTTGTGTTCTTTGTAGGCCTCATTCCATTTTCGGTAAACAGTAGAATGATGTGCTTTACCGAAAAGCTCTATCTTGGTCTCATCTGTCCACAAGACGTTTTCCCAGAAGGCTTTTGGCTTACTCAAGTACATTTTGGCAAACTGTAGTCTTGCTTTTTTTATGTCTCTGTGTCAGCAGTGGGGTCCTCCTGGGTCTCCTGCCATAGCGTTTCATTTCATTTAAATGTCGACGGATAGTTCGCGCTGACACTGATGCTCCCTGAGCCTGCAGGACAGCTTGAATGTCTTTGGAACATGTTTGGGGCTGCTTATCCACCATCCGGACTATTCTGCGTTGCAATCTTTCATCAATTTTCCTCATCCTCCACGACCAGGGAGATTAGCTACAGTGCCATGGGTTGCAAACTTCTTGATAATGTTGCGCACTGTGGACAAAGGCAAATCTAGTTCTCTGGAGATGGACTTGTAACCTTGAGATTGTTGATATTTTGCCACAATTTTGGTTCTCAGGTCCTCAGACAGTTCTCGTCTCCTCTTTCTGTTGTCCATGCTTAGTGTGGCACACAGACAGACACACAATGCAAAGGTTAAGTGAACGTCTCTCCTTTTTATCTGCTTTCAGGTGTGATTTCTATATTGCCCACACCTGTTACTTGCCCCAGGTGAGTTTACAGGAGCATCACATGCTTGTAACATTCTTATTTATCCGCAGTTGTGAAAGGGTGCCAATACTTTTGTCCAGCCCATTTTTGGAGGTTTGTGTGTGACATTATGTCGAATTTGCTTTCTTTCCTCCCCTTTTTTTGTTTTGTCCCAATACACACAAAGGGAATAAACATGTGTATAGCAAAACATGTGTTAATGCAATACGTTTCGTGAGAAATACATGATTTCCTGGAGAAATATCAAGGGTGCCAACAATTTCGGCCATGACTGTAGGATACTCTGCATTGCTCAACTCAATTAAAAATGAGTATAAACAATATATATACATAAAATTAGCAATGCAGCATAATCAGCTAACAGTCCCCATACACAACTCATTACTAGTTCAAATGCAAAAAATTCATAGATAGATAAGATATGTACAAAAGTAAGATATGTACAATAGAATATATATCGATTCACAGAATTCCCTTAAGATCACATAAAATATTGCGAAAAATCTAAAAGGACCCAGAGATCTGTTAAGATTTAAAACTAATTAAAATATAAATATAAACCAGCCCCTTTTTCTATTCAAAATCCAAAGTATGGCACGTAGGAATAAATAAATATTAGTGTGTTGATATATCTAAAATATATCGCTAAGTATATACGCTATGGATCCCTCAACTTTGAGATTCACTGCAATCGATAGGATTGCGCAGCATTGGAGGGGTGGGCATAAACGAGAGCAGTGTCTCAACTTGAGACTAAATGGATAGTGGAACTCAGATCTTTGCAACCCCAGGGCCTCAATGTGGAACTAGACATTAATTGTTTTATTGACAATAGCTAATTGTATTATATATATACTCCCTTTTTTTTGATTATCTACTATATTTTTAAATATTGGGGTTATATTATTCTTATTTTATCAAGTATAGAGGTCCGTTTTTTAGTGTGTTATATATATAATTTAAATATATTTTAGATATATCAACACACTAATATTTATTATTTATTCCTACGTGCCATACTTTGGATTTTGAATAGAAAAAGGGGCTGGTTTATATTTATATTTTAATTAGTTTTAAATCTTAACAGATCTAGGTCCTTTTAGATTTTTCGCAATATTTTATGTGACCTTAAGGGACATGTGAATCGATATATATTCTATTGTACATATTACTTTTGTACATATCTTATCTATCTATGAATTTTTTGCATTTGAACTAGTAATGAGTTGTGTATGGGGACTGTTAGCTGATTATGCTGCATTGCTAATTTTATGTATATATATTGTTATACTCATTTTGAGGATCCACTTTATTTTCTGTCCTCTATTTCCTAAACCGGATTAATTTAAAACAAAACAAAAAAATAAATCCTTGATGAAAAAAACATTTCCTGGCAGGATTCCAAGTGTCCAGCTTTCTCAGGAGTTTGCCAAGGAGGTACTCATCTCTGACTCACAGCTAATGATGAGCTCTGGCATGTTCGGATCCTAGTCCGAAGCCACCTGAATGAGCTTGCCAGGAAGCTGTCACCTGTACTGGGCCAGTAATTCGTGGCCAGATCACTCTGTACCCCGCAGCCACGCATGCCTGGGGTGCTTATGATTGGCCCAATACAGTGACAGCTGTGACTAGGATCCGAACATGCCTGAACTTATCTCTGCTCACAGCTAAAGCTAGGTAATCTACTCCCCTCCAATTCACAGCTAAAGCTAGGCTTTTCTGATTGCCTAGCTTTAGCTATGAGGCAGAGGGACACAATGCAGACTGTGACAGTCAAAGATGTCTACGGTCCTTTCTGCAGCTTCCTCCTAAGCCACATAATAACAACAGCTGCTGGAATTTGCTTAGCAGCCAGGACAAAAAGTAAAGCTTCCCATACATCTGTAGAATTTTGTTATGATTTCAGAACG